TAACTAACTAACTAACTAACTAACTAACTAACTAACTAACTAACTAACTAACTGACTAACTAACTAACTAACTAACTAACTAACTAACTAACTAACTAACTAACTAACTAACTAACTAAGTAACTAACTAACTAACTAACTAACTAACTAACTAACTACCTAACTAACTAACTTACTAACTAACTAACTAACTAACTAACTAACTAACTAACTAACTAACTAACTAACTAACTAACTAACTAACTAACTAACTAACTAACTAACTAACTGACTAACTAACTAACTAACTAACTAACTAACTAACTAACTAACTAACTAACTAACTTACTAACTAACTAACTAACTAACTAACTAACTAACTAACTAACTAACTAACTAACTAACTAACTAACTAACTTACTAACTAACTAACTAACTAACTAACTAACTAACTAACTAACTAACTAACTAAATAACTAACTAACTAACTAACTAACTAACTAACTAACTAACTAACTAACTAACTAACTAACTAACTAACTGACTAACTAACTAACTAACTAACTAACTAACTAACTAACTAACTTATTAACTTTTGGGGCAAGGGAAGAGCAATCTTTTTCGGACAGACGGGCACAGCTTAATAGACTTAGAAAGCGATTCTGAAAGGATTCGTATAATTTAAGGTGGGTGGCTGTTGTTAATGGAAATTTAAAATTTGCAACTTTATATACCATTCACAATTATAGTAACGCTTCAAAATATGGTCCTTCGTCCTTTTGCATCGTTTGACTTTGTTTTGCTTTGTTTTCGTATTTCTGAATAAAGCCATAAATATTTGAGCTACCAATATGAAAATATTTCTAGTGAATTTAAGTGTAAAATTTAGCACAACCGTTTTCAATAAAAATTTCAATAATTTTTCTCCAAAAATGACATATTGGATAAATACTAGTTTCGGCAAGATAGTAAAAGTAATATGAGAACCCGACTTATAAAAAATGAAAATGTCAATACATTGTTTACTTCATAAATTAACTATCAAAAAATATTTTCTCTCATTAATCTGGCTTAATAACATTCTCAATAAAACGTTGGCTGGAAAATTAAAATACAAATAGAAACTTTTAACCGTTAACATGCTTAGACATGCCTATACTGTGTATAAAATTGTTGCTTAAAATCAAAATGGAAATCACAAACGTTTGAAAAAGAATTAAATAAATTTTAACAATTTATTTTACCAACAAGCAATATGCAAAAAAACAAATCCAATCAACTATGTTTTTTTTGGGCAATTGAACTTGCAACAATTGAACATGTTGGTTGACACTGGTGAGTGAGAAAACCGACAGACAAAAAAAAAATGGGAAAACTGGCTTTGGCACCTATTTAAATACTGGTACGGCTATAAAAAAATGAAATAAAATTTAAAACAAAATAAACTTGTACACACTTGCATTACGATTTAGACCATATTAAGTTTTTGCTATTGTAAACGCCTTTTGTTAAACATTTCGGTGGAACAAAATAAATGTTAATTGTCATCTTATGTTGACATTTCTTTTTTAGAAACTAGATTGGTCTAAATGTTTGACAAGACGTATAAATTTCAAAGAAAATAAATTTTGACAAATGATTTGTTAAGATTTTTAACAGTTTGAAATGTGAAACTAGTTAACTTTTAAATTTTATGCAAATTGAAGTGTTCTACTAAGACATTTTATATTTCTGTAGTTTAATTAAATTAAATGAAATATTTAACAAGTAAGAAAGTATAGTCGGGCGTGACCGACCATATGATACCCTACACCAGTTATTATTTTTCATAATAATTCATTGTTCTGGTACATTTAAGCAATTTATGGATGAAAACCTAATTTTCTGAAAGAGGCCTTATATGGGGCTAGGGGCAAATATGAACCTAGCCCGATAAAGTTTTGTGAATATATTTATATTTATATAATATTTATTTGTGCTGAATTTCATCACGATATTTGTGTTTATAAGTTAATTTTGGACATTCAAGTAATTTTCGGAAGGGGGCTTTGTATGGGAGCTAGGGTCAAATGAGGCCCGATCTTTATGAAATTTGGCAAGGTCATCAAGGCTTGTATAAAACTTAGTTGTGCCGCTTTTTATCGATATACAGGTATATTTAACATAATTATGAGCTCAGAAGCCCTTTTAGGGGGTTCTGTTGTATGGACCGATTTTAACCATTTTCAATAGGCTTCGTCCTTGGGTCAAAAAAAGAGTGTGTGCCAAATTTCATCCAATTATCTTAAAAATTGCGCACAAGGTTTACATGGACAGCCAGCCAGACGGACGGATGGACATAGCTAAATCGACTCAGAAAACGATTCTAAGCCGATTGGTATACTTTAAGGTGGTTATAGGACGAATATTTTTGTATATTACAAACATCAGCACAAACCCAATATACCCTCCCCACTAAAGTGGTGTAGGGTATAAAAACGGGATATTTTGACTTTAGCTATTGCACTAATATGTAATTGAATGTGAACGCACCTTCTTATTTACTCAACTATACAAAGTAGTCAATTCCATCAAAAATGCCAACATCTTTATGGATTTGTTAAATGGCTTGTAAATGAAATTCTATAATGTCAAGATTGTTTACTTGAATCATTAATAGAATAACTTGATCGAATTGAATCTTGAACTACTTTTTGCTTTTTCTCTTGATTAGACATGTTTATTAAAATATTTTAAACATAACTGACACGTCAAACACGATCATAATATAACAGCCTACACTATTGATTAGTATTTTAAGTGATTTTCAGAAGAGACTGATCCCCACGGAAGACAATACAGCGATTATTTCCTAATTTATAAGATTTCAGAAAAATTGCATTACTATAACAGTATCTATTTTTAGATGTTTTTAAGGTATTACTCAGCTTTAAAATGAATTGAGGTCCGATAATGAATCGATGCAACCAGAATTTAGAGGTATTAAAGAGGCATGGACGACTATATGATACCCTACACCAGTTATGTGTATATCTAAAATGTTTATTAATATTAATAGTAATACAATTTCTGTTGAATTTTTTCTTAATTTCGATACATTTTTGATTAAAAAAATGATTTTCTGATGGAGGCTATATATAGGGGCTAGGGTCAAATATGAACCGATTCTGAAAATATTTGGTGGCGGGATTTTTATTGACATTAAAGTTAATTATGCCGAATTTGAAATACACGTGTTTATAAGTGAATTAACGGCTTTCAAGCATTTTCTGAGGGAGTCTTTGCAAGGTGGCTAGGGTTAAAAAAGGGCCGCTCATTACGAAATTTCGCAGTATTATTTATACTTGTATAAAGCGTAGTTGTGCCTATTTTTGAAGGGATATTAGTATATATGGCATAATTATGAGCTCCAAATTCCAATTTAGGGGGTCCGGTTATAGGGGGGCTAAGTGAAATAATGGACCGATTTATACCGATAATGGTATAAAAAATTCTTAAACCTTAAATATTTTAGTTTGGAGACGTTGATATGTTGTAAATTACGGAAAGGGTGACCTATATAAGGTCTTATACATATCTTAGGAGTTTAATAGCGACTTGATTCAGTTATGGATCATTCTCATTATAATGTTTTTCAAAAAGTAAACTTTTCCATAACCTTTGCAAGAAGGTTATATGGGGTCAATTATGTTCCAAAAATGTTGGCATACTTATATATAACTACTTTTATTTTAAGACAGTTATAAGCCATAAAGTCATTTTCTGAAATGGTAGTGAGATTTTGTTCTTGCAAAACTAGTTTATGTTGAATTTCGTCGCTATAGTGGTATTATAAAGATGGTTATGAGCCTTGAAGTAATTTTCTGATAGGGTCCTTATATGGAGGTAGGGTCAATTATGGACCGATTTACATAAAATTAAGTAGACAGATTTTGGTTCCTATAAAACTTGTTAATGTTGAATTTCGTCGCTATACTGGTTTTTAGCGTTAAAGTAATTTTGGGGATGTGATCAATATGATCCAATATGGACTGAATGGACTGATCCTCTATAGTTTAGTAGAGATTTTTGTTGCTATAAAACTTATTCTTATCGAATTTCGTTGCTATACTGCTATTATTAAGGCAGTTTTGAGCGTTAAAGTGATATTTGTGAAACGGACCATATTTTGAGGGTTAGGATCAATTATGGACCGATCCTCATTTGTTAGAGAGTTTGTTGTTGCTATAAAACTTGTTTATATCGAATATCGTTGTTATACTGGTATTTCTAAAACCAGTTATCAGCGTTAAAATGATTTTCTGGAAGGTAGGGTCAATTAGGGTCCCATGTCAGCCATATATTACAGTATAACTTTGACTACATAACACTAAATTGTGCAACATTTTATAACGATTGCTGTATAATTGATTATAAATTTATAATAGTATTTCGAGGATCACTTATAAGGTTAGTGGAATAATGAACCGATATTTCTTATTTTCAATTCCGAATAAGCTTTATAAATAGAGAATAATTATGAAAAATTTCTCGTTTTCTTCCCGTATGGTACCTGTCGAGATTTCAAAAGATCGTCTTAGAATTTAATAAGGATTCAGAATATACATATGTATGTATATACTTTTGTAGGTCTGCGACGTGTTGCAAACGGAAGGACGGAAGTGGATAAGAATTGGTTCCAAAACAATTCGAAATTTAGAAAATAATTACATGATAAAACTTACATGTCATTTTTGTAATGGGTCTACGCTTTCACCCGTACAAAAGGTCAAATCTATAAAAACATGTTGATATTATGACTAAAATTTCAATACCCGTATACAATTTCAAATGGTATTTAATCGGTATTGCTACTTATAACGCTATTGGTTGCCAATGTTTGAAAGATTATTAAAAATTATTACTCTCATTACATTTCTGGTTTCCTGAACATGGCTTGCTATTTTGTTCACAGGAACGTGAGAAATTTTGTTTTCTAATTAACTTTCGCACAAAAAAAAAAAAAAAAGTTATTCACTTACCATCCATTTGACACAATCCAAACAGCCCATTTGTGAAGCAGCATGTATCGGTGCCATGCCATCGCGTGCTCGTACATATAATGAGCCGCCAGCTTCAAGCACTAAAAATTTTAGAACTTCCAAATGTCCCTCTTGTGCTGCCAAGTAGACTGGTGTGACATCATTGTCCATTTGCGTATTGGCGCTAAAGATACAAAATACAAAAGACATTGTTGTAATTGAAAAAAAAAGTATAAAGTCGTAAGAAACTTCTCATAAATAAATGCAATTAAATGCAAAGAAAAAAAAACTACATTTTAAAATTAAAGTTGTTCAGTTTTATTATTTCTCTATTGCATCCAATATACATATAATGTGACAAATATACAGTCTAAGAAAAATACAGGTAAATTGGCCACAAATGTTTTGCTGTTTTTGGTTAAGTTATTTAAAGAAGTAGATTTTTATGTATTTTTTTTGGTTTAGTTGTTGCTCTTGTTCTCGTATTTAAAAATAAGTAATTGCACGTTTTTTCTTTTTGTAGTTTTAATTGACGCGCTTTTTTCTTTTTACTTGCATTTTGCTTAGATACTTCCACTTGGTTAATATTTGTTTTTTTTTTCCTCTCAATAGATTTTCATAAAATTTTTCTTCTTTTAAATACAAGTACAATAAATATTTTTAATTTGTGTGCTGTGTTGACTAGTTCTAGATTTTCTGCAGGATGCATTTAGAAAGTAAAGAAAAACTTTGTGTAACGGGTGAAAAACACTTTTTTTTTCAAATGAAAGTTTTGTTAGCAAAACGAATGTATGAGAAATATTTCAACAAAAAGCAACAGTTTTTATGTAAAAATAGTTAAATAAACTGTTAAAGTGACAATGTTTAATGCAAGCAAAAAATCGTTTCTTTAAGTTAAATGAAAAAAAAAAAATATATTTAAATCAGAAAATTAGTAGGTATTGAATGTCCCTACAATTTATGCAAGATTTTAACTATTTGTTTAGAAAAGACCGCTTTTTTAGAATGTTGTTGTAGTAGTGATCTAGTCTGTCAGTTCGGGGGACGTGGGCCCGACCAAAGATCGCACATCAGACCCAATAGTTGCCCATTTATATATTTAAAAATCAACTCTACTAACTTTCTGACACGTACATATGTACATATGTATATATGTATTTACTTATCGTATAGCTATACTTTTCAAGATGATATTTGGTTCCTGAATCTCTATTATTTCATTCATTATTCCTATTGCATTTAATTAACCGATTCTAGATTTTATCTAAATAATCTAACACGATTATTTATTATTTCATTATTTCGTTCATTATTCCTATTGTATTTAATTAATCGGTTCTTGATTTGAACTAAATAATCTGACTCGATTAACTGACTGTTCGTCTGTCCTTACAATGAAATACAGGAAGAAATTTTAAAAATATTTCACTGATAGTATTAAACACATGTTGCTTCTGGAATCGGTTCACGATTTTACTTATAGTCCATAAAAGTTAGTTGAAATATCGTTCAAAGGTCTATAAATTGATTAAATTCGTTCCATGATTTCGTCTTAAAATAAAACTGTTCAATTAACCGGGCTTTGAAAATTTTCTTTAAAAAGAACTTTTCGAAAATTTCCTATCGACATTTTTTTATTAAGAAAATTTCCTATCGACATTTTTCTATTAAGAAAATTGTTATCGAAAATTTTCTATAAAGAAAATTGTTATCGAAATTTTTCTCTAAAAAAGCTGTTATCGAAAATTTTCTTTTAAGAAAATTGTTATCGAAAATTTTCTATAAAGAAAATCGTTTCCGAAAATGTTCTTTAAAAATCGAAAGTTTTATCGAAAGTTTTCTATAAAAAAAATTTTACAGAAAGTTTTCTATAAAACAATTGTTATCGAAAATTTTCTACAAAATATATTGTTACCAAAAATTTTCCATAAAAAATTGCTAACGAAATTTTCTTTTTAAATAAAATTGTTATCGAAATTTTTTTCTAAAACATTGTTATCGAGAATTACATATCTATAAAAAAATTATTATCGGAAATTTTCTATACAGAAATCAAAATCGAAAATTTTCTATAAAGAAAATTGTTATCGAAAATTTTCTAGAGGCTAATTGTTATCGAAAATTTTCTATAGGCTAATTGTTATCGAAAATTTTCTATAAAGCAAATTGTTATTGACAAAGAAAAGTGTTATCAAACATTTTCTGTAAAGAAAATTGTTATCGAAAAATTTCTATAATGAAAATTGTCATCAAAAAATTTCTTTAAAGAAAATTGCTGTCGAAAACTTTTAAAAAAGAAAATACTTATCGAAAATTTTCTATAAAAAAAACAACTGTTATCGAAAATTTTCTATAAAGCAAATTGTTATTGAAATTTTTCTATAAATAAAATTGTTATCGAAATTTTTCTATAAATAAAATTGCTATAGAAATTTTTCTATAAAAAAGTTGTTATCGAAATTTTTCCATAAAAAAGTTGTTATCGAAATTTTTCCATAAAAAAATTGTTATCAAAATTTTTTTATAAAGAAAATTGTTATCGAATATTTTCTATAAAGAAAATTGTTATCGAAAATTATCTATAAAGAAAATTGTTATCGAAAATTTTCTATAAAGAAAATTGTTATCGAAAATTTTCTATAAAAAAAATATTATCGACAATTCCCTATAAAAAAGTTGTTATCGAAAATTTTCTATAAAAAAAATTATTAGCGAAAATTTTGTTAATTTGTTATCGAAAATTTTCTATAAAAGAATTTGTTATCGAAATCTCTTTTTTATAAGAGAATTTGTTATCGAAATTTCTTTTTTATAAAAGAATTTGTTATCGAAATTTTTCTATAAAAGAATTTGTTATCGAAATTTTTCTATAAAAGAATTTGTTATCGAAATTTTTCTATAAAAGAACTTGTTATCGAAATTTTTCTATAAAAGAATTTGTTATCGAAATTTTTCTATAAAAGAATTTGTTATCGAAATTTTTCTATTATAAAATTGTAAAAAATTGTTATCGAAATTTTTCTATAAATAAATTGATATCGAAATTTTTCTATAAAAAAATTGTTATCGAAATTTTTCTTTAAAAAAATTGTTATCCAAATTTTTCTTTAAAAAAATTGTTATCGAAATTGTTCTATAAAAAAATTTATCGAAATTTTTTTCTAAAAAAAATTGTCAATATATTTTCTATAAACAAAATTGCTATCGAAAATTTCTACAAAGTAATTTGTTATCGAAAACTTTTTATTAAAAAATTGTTATCAAAAATTTTCTATAAAAAATGTACAGAAAATTTTTATAAAAAATTTAAAATTTTCCTTAAAAAGAAAGTTATTTAAAAATGTTCTATTGTTATCGAAATTTCTTTTTTATAAAAGAATTTGTTATCGAAATTTTTCTATAAAAGAATTTGTTATCGAAATTTTTCTATAAAAGAATTTGTTATCGAAATTTTTCTATAAAAGAACTTGTTATCGAAATTTTTCTATAAAAGAATTTGTTATCGAAATTTTTCTATAAAAGAATTTGTTATCGAAATTTTTCTATTATAAAATTGTAAAAAATTGTTATCGAAATTTTTCTATAAATAAATTGATATCGAAATTTTTCTATAAAAAAATTGTTATCGAAATTTTTCTTTAAAAAAATTGTTATCCAAATTTTTCTTTAAAAAAATTGTTATCGAAATTGTTCTATAAAAAAATTTATCGAAATTTTTTTCTAAAAAAAATTGTCAATATATTTTCTATAAACAAAATTGCTATCGAAAATTTCTACAAAGTAATTTGTTATCGAAAACTTTTTATTAAAAAATTGTTATCAAAAATTTTCTATAAAAAATGTACAGAAAATTTTTATAAAAAATTTAAAATTTTCCTTAAAAAGAAAGTTATTTAAAAATGTTCTATAAAAATTATCATATATTTTCTATAAAATAAATAGAGGTTTTTCACAAGACATTTAAAATCATGCGTGAATTTAGAAACACCCTTTAACAACTAACACATTATCATTATTATCAAAAAACATTTTGATCTCACCTAACAATATTACGACGATTATTATGTTCCTTGCGTACCCCATTGATAGTATGACCACTTGCATCATTTGCAAAGTCATCATCTTCCAGATCATTCGGATCATCCATTATTTCTGCTAAATCCGACAAATCATCACTTGAAATGCGTCGTAAATTACCGCTGGTAACATTATCGTTAACACTTCCCGAACTGCCACTGATATCATTGGCAATGGAACAAATATCATTATTCGATTTACTTTTGTTCTTGGCGCGACGATACGAAGCCAGACTTGTGGTCATTCTGCCAAGAAATCCCTTCTTGACGTTGATGGTAGAGAAATAACTAAATAATATTTGAGGAAATTTTTTTTAGCGTCAAAGAAACAACGAATGATGGGTATAGTAGTAGAAAGAGAGTGGAAAATCGCAAAATGCGCTTAGTTTATAGAGAAATACAGAAATGCAGTGATATAAAGATCATCAAAATTAAGATAATCTTTTGAATACTGGAGACAAAATTTATGGCATTTTTTGTAAGTAGCCTAAATAAATGAGAGACATTTCAGGTGATTCTTAAAGAGAGAAAATATCCCTACAATTGGTGAATTGAGGTTTAAAGAGTGCAGCATCAGTGGGTTCAATTTGAAGCTAGAATTTATCTATTTGGTTTTCTTTTTTAAATAAGATATTGTGCAACATTTGTTTATTTTATAGGTGATGTCAGAAGTTCAGTTTTGAAAAAAGTTAAAAGCCCCAAAAGTCAAAACACGAATTTCACTTTCCGTAAATTCCATTTGAAAAATTACCTTCAATAGAGAGAGGTTCGGTTCGTTCTTTCTTTTATGATTTTTTTTTAACAATACTTTTCTTTTTTACTGCTTTCTTAGTTTATAGTTCTGTTTTGCGGTATTATTACAAAAATTCTTTTGTTAAAGGGTTTATTTTATATTTTTTTTATTCATTCGTAGCTGTTTATCTATTACTCTTGTCTTATTATTATGTTAATTTCGTTTTGTTCACTTTTGTCACTGAAAACAAATTTCACTTTTCATCATTATTACTATTGACTTCAGAGAGTCACCTTTTAAATCATCATTAAATGTTTTTTTCTTTCTTGTATAGAATTTGAACTTTTACACGTTTTTATGTATTTTCTTTTTTTG